ATTACCCATATCTGTGCTCCTATTTCTACCACCTCCAGCCTTTTACTGATTAATTTAGGCCAATCGTCCAAACCCATGAAGCACCATGGAGTAAGGCACAGCAGTCAACCCATCCACAAGACAGGATGATTAGCACTGAGAATGCAACTCTGTGAACCTCTATCATTATTTTAATGACACTTCATGTGCTAATTTTAAATACAACAGCTGCTTCTCTCAAGTTCTAGCTACAGGATTTTGCTAAAGATCACCTTTAACATTACAATCTAAATTCAGTGAGATTATACATAAACAGAAAACATTCATATCAGCTACTCAGTGAACAGTAAGATTTGTGGGCTTGGGAGTTTGGCTTTTTAAAAACATTCTATATGAACTGGCTAAAGTCAGGAAATAAATTGTGGTTATCAATACTGGCATAAAAGCCAAATAAACATGAAACCAAAGCATGGTTTATTATTATTATTTAAATAATAAAAAAGTCTGTAGAGCTATGCTCGCAGTTCAAATCCACATTTTTCCCTAGGAAAGGACTACACAGTTAATTCCAGTTATGAGACACTACAATTAAAAGTGAAGCAATAAAGTCCCTGGGTAAAATACATCTTTTCTTTAGTTGGCTTCAGAAATGCCCCCAAAATAGCGCATCACCTGACCTGTCACTAGGGTTTTACAAAACAACCATTATTCTCTTCTTTTCTTTCTTCAACAACATTGTGCAAGGAAAATAGTCTGATTTCTGTAAAATATATTTTTTAATTTGAGTTTATCAACTATTTATCAAGTAATTTGAGTTTATCAAGAACTTACCAAGGGAAAGCTACTCTGGAGAAATTAAATCTTACGTGGAGATCTTCATGAAGTGCAGCCTATGATCATTTCCAGCTCCTGCAGGAACAAGTTCAGTTAATCTAGGTTCAATTCACCACAGCCTAATGGCCAGCAGTGGCCCGGCTCTGCTTGTCACGGAGCATTTCCCTGCTGTCAGACACGGCTGCTGGGAACAGTCAGCGAGAAGGAGAAATGATCCTGCAAGCAATTACATGTGTCCTCCCAGAAGGGCTTCAAACAGGAGAGAGATCTTGAACTACATCGAAAAAGAAGACCCCGTGCAGAACAAAGTACAGCTACGTAGTGACCCATGTTTCATCTGGACTGCTGCATTTGATGCTATTTGGAGATTGTATTTTTTTTTTAATGTGTGCAGCCACATAAGCCCATACAAGAGATCAAGCTTATGGCTTACTAGGACTAGAATTGTAACTGCCATCCAGAAGCACTGCTTTTCCCTCCATGGCAGGCCACATCACCCTCCTCAGCCCCACAGCAGCACATTTTCTATTACAGCTATCTGAAACATTCACTAAAACAGGCAGAAATTTTCAAGGCAGCGAGGGCAAGTTGACAATCTGAAAGCAGGTATTTCTACTGCTAAGAATGTTTTTAGGACAAAAAATTGGTATTTTAAAACTTTCCTGCTAAAGCTACCAGAGACTTCCCTCGGTCTCTTCAAATATAATCATTAGCCTGCCTTCACCTTTGGCGTCTAGCTCCCACCTCTCCCCAGGAAGGAGAGCATAAAGGAATGAGGGAGACTGTCCCCGTTCCCTGGGATGGCTTTGGAATGCAGTTCCCCAGCTAACCATGCTGACCGCTATTTACACTAGACCAACAAAGCCATACAATCAAATTTTAGTAACTCACTGTGAAGTAACTTCCAACAAGATCGTATCTGTAGATCTGTATTATTAGATCTTTCTTTAATTGGACCAACTATGTCTACCGTACTTCTCTGCTTTTCATCTACCACAGCCTTCCTAGCAGCAACACACAAGAGTCTAGCCTGAACACAGACCTAGCGAACTGGTGCCAGTAGTGCAAGCCACCTACAAATTTAGAAATTTGGCAGATAGCACGCTCACCTTTGACAGCAAAACTACGTACCATGAACCCTCTCAGCTATCCGGTGAAGGAGCCCTGCCAGGAGAGGCTGTGAACATCATGGTGAGCACTACGCTCTGTGCTGCTCATCAGCTCTGCACTCGGAGAACGACCTGAGCCCAGGTCCCCTTGACGTGGGACCAGGAGTTTGGGAGGTAGGAAAAAGAGGAGAAACGTGACTGCATTATCTTCAGACAAGATGCATTCACTCCTCAGATCATCCAAAGCCACGCTTTGTCCTCGTCCTGGGGTAAAATGCAGAAGGGAAGGTGCTAGAAGATGACTTGTGGCATTGGAGTCAATCTGCTGATTTCTCTATTGGCTTTTTCAAAGCTATTACGTTTAAAGCTTCCATTTGCTGTGGCTGTAGAGTCCAACTAAATGTTTCCGTGGTTAATTGAAAAAGAGGTCTGAGGTTTATTCAGAGTAATAATAACAACGATAAAACCCAAACAAAACAAAACCAGAGAGCCTACAGCTACTCACACTGTTACAGTCTCTTCCCGCTTTTTTCGGCTTCCTCTCCTCCATTCTCCTGCACAGCAGTCTCCACAACATAAACCCCAAGCCCCTACCCCAACGCACTGTAACTGCAGATTCAGTCTTTTCATGTGCTATAAGGCTTCAAATAGCATACTGTACAGACACAGGTCACCTCCTCAGTCCCCCAGCCACATGGCTTGGGGACATCCGACTTTGCCCCCTGCCAGGGAGGTGGCCACTCTCTAGACTTACTCCTCAACCTGACAGGAGGATTGCCAGCAATCAGCTGTACCGATCCTTCAGCCTCAGGGAACATCAGATCTTCACAATTAAAGCAAGGAAGGCCTATTACAGAATACAGCAGACAAGGAGTGGTATAAAGGGAGTATCACTTTTTTAATGAAAAAAATTAAGTCATTCAGATTGTCTTCTCTGAAGCAAAAAGAAATTAAATCGCCACAACTTTCTTTTCAGCTGAAGGCTCCAGCCTATGCTAAAGTCAGTTTCTGAGTGCACAGAGGTTGCCAGAGCCAACGCTAATTCAAACCCAAGAGGAAATGGCACAACCGTGAAGAGATACAGCTCATTTTGCACTAAGTTGGGTGTCTCCGTACCCTGTAGTGCTCGCCGTGCCTCCCACCGCATTCGGGCCCTTGCAAGCTCAGAGCGAGCAGGGCCCCTGAGCTGTCCCGCCAGTGTATTACACAGTCAATGGCATTCACAGGCAGCAATTCATGTTTTTACGGTTCCCCCCCTCCTCTGTTTCTGTTACACCAGTGTGTAACCCTCTTCCAACTGAGGGTTGTATCTCTGTCAGAGCCCTGTGCTAAGCCAACTTTCCCTTTATCTCCACCCTGCTCAGCCGTAATCCCCCCCCGCCCCGCCTACAGCAGGTCAACGGACACAACGGTTCAACGGCACACCTCCTTCAGTCACAAAATGCAGATTTTCTTGAAATTGAAAACGGAAATGTATTATTTGCTGGTATTTGCTTGACAGGAAAGCCTGTCAGACTTAGAACTTTTTTTGGTGAGGGTCCTCTTTAAGGAAGTAGACAAACCACTCAAGGGCAACAGTGCAGCTGCAGAATTTATAGCAATCAGGGAATTTCAATAAAAACTCACTGCAGCTGGAAATTACCATCCACTTACAAGCAATGCAGACCTCCATAGGAGTGCTTGTTGCTTTCGTACAAAACATTGTGCTACAGAAGCAAATGCGTTTTGTGTAAACCAAATCTTGTGAAATAACAGCTAAGCTCCAGCCTGCCCATTCTGGGTACAGCAAGTCCAAAATGCAGTGGTCAGCCATTTCGAGCACCATTTGACCTCTGATTTTTCTAGATATTCACAAGTTTGGAGTTCATGCAGATTCATGCCTTTGACTAGGATGAAATCATTGAGGCCGTTGAGGTCTACAGGACAATGGGCAAAAACAGGGTGTCCGCACCTGGCTGCTTCCTCTCAGCACCGCTCCCACAGGGAGCCGCAGGCACACCTGGCAAGGTCTGGGCTGCAGCACCTCTGGTGTGATGAGATATACCACCTCTCACAGATGCCCAGCGGTTCTATCCCCTACTCAGACAAACATCTGGCATCTGGATAAAAGCCAGCTGGCGTGCGCCCAACTCAGATAAACTGGAAATGTCGGCCAGCACAGGGAAGCACTGGGACGAATATCCAAATGCAACATCTGTTCCCTACTGCACATCCTCCTAAATCGCCATTGATCTTGAAACATTATTAGGCTTCCCTCTGGTCCAAGATTAACCCAGCGAACAGATGTATTAGCAACCCTCAAAGGCAGAATGGTTTGGTTGTGCAGGAGTATCGCTCATCTTCTTAAGGAAAAAGGCTGATAACCCAGATGCCCTCCAACTCAGCAGAAAGGGATCCAACCTTGCAAGAAATAGGTCAATCAGGATGATAATAGCATGATAAAACTAATAACAAGAAGGAGAAAGGCTAGAGAGAACAAATGAATATTTATCTAGCACAAAAATGAAAGACTTTCAAAACAAATTTAATTGAAATTCCTAAAGATGGGAAGAGAAGATATTGTGTCTGCATCAGAACTAGAAACCTGGGTGGTGGACAGAAGATGCCAGAACAATTCACTTTTTGGGAAAAATCCAAGCTGAGAATAATAAAAAATACTGGGGTGGGAAGAAAAGCATGATTAGGTAATTAAAATGAGTAATTAAAACTTTTGTCGGAAAGGATGTGTGAGCGAGACCAGGTAAAGAGTGACACGCCATCTACAAATGGTGTTACTAGTTTATGAGCCACTGATATTTCATTGATGTGGGAGAAAGTAGAAGGTGATGCACAGAAACCACAAACTATCAGCTATACGAGAACTGCTAGAAGAGTTAAAAGGATTCAAGAAAAAGTCTGCAATTAGCAGAATTATAAAACAATAAAATCTCTCTGCAGTATTTTAGGGTAGAGAATCACGATTGTCATATGGCTCACCAAGTATAATGCAAAAAAAGAAATGGTAAATAAAATATTTCTGTTCTATAGTTGAGAAAATGCTGAATGACATCATATACCATGATAACGATAGCAGTGTATTTCTAATCCAACAATAACTTAGGGTGTTAAACAACATTAGCAAGATAGGCAGTCCAGTATCAGGAGGTCTGGATAACTTCGATTCAACAGCTAAGCCAAAAAGCTCTCTGGATCATTAATACTGATTTTCAATAACGTTTTTGTAAGAATGTCAGTTTTCCATTATTAAACATTTTTTAAAATCAAGATCAATATTTATCTACAGGCTGCTCAAATTTAAATGGGATTAATTCCTTAATTTAGGGAAATTGGAGGCTTGTGTTACAGAAGTCATACTACAGAATCACTGCAGACTTTTTTTTTTTTTTTTTTTAAAAAGTCTTTGACTGGTATATTGAAGGTAACCACAGCAAACAGTGATAAACAGCAAGATTAACTGGAATCAGGTGGCCAGTTCCAGGGATACACATTGTGTATGACCCATGAAAAGAAATTAAAAGGTACACAGAGGTAACCATCACATGCAGCGCTGTGAAAGCCGCCGACGCACAACGGTGCCATGCAGGAATTGCCCAAGGCCCCGAAACAGATGCTGAAGAGTTGAGAAAGTTACCTGAAGGTGATGCAGGAGCCCTGATGCACTGGGCAGCAGGCCAGCTGCACCGTGGTGTGCCAGAAAGTGGCAGGGAGGCACAGCCAGCCCCTGCTGAGGGACGGGGAGACAGCAAGGAGAGATGGTCAGATGGAGGAGATGTCCCTGGCCGTGTGTCGTGGTTTAACCTGGCCGGCAGCCAAATACCACGCAGCCGCTCCCTCACTCCCCCCCGCACCCCAGTGGGACGGGGAAAGAATCGGAAGGGTAAGAGTGAGAAAAACTCGTGAGTTGAGATAAAGACAGTTTAATAAAACAGAAAAGGGAGAATAATGATGATAATGATAAAATATACAAAATAAGTGACGCACAATGCAATTGCTCACCACCCGCGCTGACCGATAACCAGGTAGCGATCGGTACTTCCTGGATCACGCCTACCATTCAGATACTGAGCATGACGTCACATGGTATGGAATACCCCATTAGCCAGCTGGGCTGGCTGTCCTGATTATGTTCCCTCCCATCTTGTGTACCTAGCTCAGTCAGTAGGCATGGGAGCTGTCCTTGGACTAGGAGGGTACTTAGCAACAACTGAAAACATCAGTGTGTTACCAACATTCTCCTCATACTAAATCCAAAACACAGCACTAGCAAGAAATTTAACCCTATCCCAGCCGAAACCAGGACACCGTGCAGCAAGGGCGCAGTGCTTTGGCCAGGTCACCTCCAGCAGTGAGCTGTGGTGCCCGCTGGCTGTAAGCCATTTGAGAGCGCCATGAAGCACCACCACGGCTCGGCATCACTGGGACTGCAGCTGCCCTTGGCAAGGCTGGAGACGGTGTCCCTGGCATAGCCCCGGTCCCGAGCCCAGCTCAAAGGAGCTCAACCCCGGGCCAGCGAGGCACCGAAGGGACACCACCAGCAGCACTTGTATTTTCAGGCTGGGCAGATGAGAGGGGCCAGTCTCCTACATGGCACCAGACAAGTGGTACCATGCGTGTAAACTGCGTGTAAACGATGAGATTTGGCCAGAAAGGTGTTGGGGAGTTATCACCAGTTTACCGAACGCCTGCATAAAAGGGATACGCATCTCAGCTTGGGAAAGCACAGACTGCGTGGTCAGCCAGGAACACCCAAACAAGCAAAGGCGCTAATCAGTAGTAGGTGCACAAAGAGTACCACAGATGGAGACTCTACAAAAGCCCCCCCCAGAAACCTCTATAAAATTCCAAACTAATTATGGGAGAAAACCCATCCTAAAGCAGTTCACATTTAAGGACAGGACCTTTACAACCATAAAAATAATTCCTGCACTGTCCTGGAAGGCAGACATGATAAAGAAACCAGTGCTGTATTTTGCTACTTATGCCACGCTTACCTACGTATAAGCAGACACAGGGCTATGCCGGCTTGCTGTGGGACACAAATGAGTGTGTGCGTAATTCTCATGTAATACATGAATGAATTGCCAGTACCTTCCCTATGAACCCACAAATAAGGGAATGAGAGCAAGAGACCAAGACCAAAGCACAGAGAGAGGCTGGAAAAAGCAGGTCTCACCTCTGAAAACACACGGGAAGGGGGCTGTAGGAAGCCACTGCCGGGAACAGGCAGTCTCCCTGGGGAGGAGGGACAAAGCATGGGTTTAGTCACTGACAAACGCTTTCTTGTCCCCTGGGAAACACAGAGCTCATTGCTCTCTCCAGCCTCCTGAGCAGGGGAACTGGAGAGGGAGGTGCTGAGCTCTTCTCACCAGTATCCAGGGATAGGATGTGTGGGAATGGTTCAAAGCTGTGCCAGGGGAAGTTTAGATTGGACATTAGGAAGCATTTCTTTACTGAGAGGGTGGTCAAACACTGGAACAGGCTTCCTAGAGAGGTGGTCGATGCCCCAAGCCTGTCAGTGTTTAAGAGGCATGGAAAATGACCTTAACAATGTGCTTTAACTTTTGGTCAGCCCTGAATTGGTCAGGCAGTTGGACTAGATGATCGTTGTAGGTCCCTTCCAACTGAAGTAGTCTATTCTATTCTGTTCTATTTCCCTCAGCCTGCCCTCAACTCAGAGGGAGGTGAACACCTCCTCCTGCAGCCTTCAGGAAAAGGCAGAGCAAGGCAGAAGCTCCATCTTCTCCAGTGCTTGGAAATAGGACTAACAGCTTTTATGAACGGGGTTGCACAACTGGAGCACGTGTGCAGGAGCATGTTTATCTTGCGTGACAAAATTGAACAACTGCTGGTACAACTGCTTTGAAATGCAGCTCTTGGAGAGGCCACAGCACAATTCTGTGTTTTTTCCCCTGAGTTCTCAGCCATTTCAATTTCTAGCAGAATTAAGTTGTCTGAAGTTGCCCAACTCCAAGCATGCACAACAAAGATACATGGAAGAGGCATGTACAGAAAACCTGTGCATTAAAGCTTGACGCACAACTATTTCTGTTTTAGGAAATTTATTTCTGTAGGTGGTATGAGCTTCCTGGTGCTCACAGGAACATCAGGAAATATTTACTACACTTTTATTTCTCTTAACTGCAAAAAATAAACAATCCACGTCACCTCCCAAGGATGCACTACCTTCTTGTCATACCTTGAAGTCAATAATGAAAACCTGGAGTTTGAAACATGGGTTTTGCATCCTGGGAGGTGAAGCAGCAGATGAAAAGTACAAATGGGCAAGAACACAAATCGTGTTGCCCGCAAGGTCACTCACCGGCAATCCCCAAACAGATACAGCTGCCACACAGTCATTTGGCAGATACCTAATTGATATGTGATGGCACTTTTTTTTTTTTAAATTAAAGATTTTTATGTGTTCTCAACTGCAGAATACTTGACCTGACAAGCACATGCAGGCGCAAAAGATTACGTGAGACAACAAGAAAACAGAATAGACAGGAAAATATATCTGAAGTGTAACCAGTAATAGCTTCATTTGCCTGTTCCCCGGGGAACTCTGAACTGTTTTGTGTGCAGAGGCTGTTAAACAGAAATTTATTTATTGGGAAGTTAATACAGCATGGTTAGAAGCATTTCATGTAAGCTGTCTAGGTACACAACAACCTCTACTAGCCAGAAGAGAAATTGTGTCCACCGAATCAAACAGCTGAAAGAAAATCTAGTAATTTCAGCAGTAACAGTGAAGAGGTTAAGCCAGGCGAGCTGCCCCTGCCTTACTCACAGAGGCTCTGAGGACCCCCTCGCAGG